GTTGATCTTTAGGTCAATTCTCAGGTCCCAACACCACTTGGAAATATTCAGGCTGTTGGTCCCATCAGAGTAGCTGACAGTCCGCAGCTCTGACCGTCTCTGTACTCACTGTTTTTGTTCAGGTTTTTCCACTAGTTGGTGCCTAATCCACTTCTGTATAGTTCCTTCCAAAGCTTAGGGCACCAGGATTATGTTCTGTATCTCTGCCAACTGGTTTTTCTTTTCTTTGTTGAAGAGGGTCTGCGTCACTTCCTCCATCTTACCAGGAGTCCACAAGTTAAATATATTAAGTGCCATTAGAATAAGGCCACCCATTCTGTACAGCTACATTTGAAAACTGTTTTATTTTCCCTTCCATTTGAAAGCAATCTAAGATAAGCTATAGTTATTAAAATGTCTTCTTTAGGAAAATTTACTACAGAGAATCAAGCATTCTAAATTCTCTCTCAATAATTTCAATACATTGTAGAATCTCAATTCCAGGAGACATTTAAGAAAAGAACTATTTGTTCTGAAACGTTCAAGCATTCATGTACTAGAAGGCAGTGACTGAATCAAATCAGTTCTTTGACTTGATACAAATAAAGCTGCAAAGCAATGACATAATACCACCAAAGAAAGAAACTAGCATCAAGATACTAACTAAAATGTTTGGTTTCAAAGATACTAAATCCTTGATATCCTAACTAGAAGAATCCCTGTTACACATTAAATCCCTTGCCTCCTCACTGAAGTGAGAAATCCATTTCCAATAAGTACATATGTCCCTTAGCCTCTTCATGCCTGCTTGCCTGTCCCACAGAGAAGGCAGAGTATTTAGTTAGGCATGTTTGCGAATGAAGACAAGAAAATTCCAACTTTAAAACCAAATATTTTCCTTATTTAATTCTGGTATCTTATTGGCCCATATGCTGCCTCCTCCTCACAGTATGGTACCCTGCACATTTTCTTATCCTAGATTTTGACTTTCTTTTAAAGCATACTGTTAATATCAAGCAGACCAAATTGGGTGGAAATGCAATATGAGAAAGCAGAGCAAAACTGATGATGATTTAAACAAAAACAGGCAAACTTGCCGAAGACATTAGGTGCTCCATAAATGCTTGCTGAAATGCTATTTTTCAACTTAAAGTAATAAATTCATCTCTTTCTCTAATTCAAGAATCTCATGAGTTAACAGGAGCTCTGGTGGCATAGCGCCTGAGGGATTTTGACTGCTAACCAGAAGGCTGGTGGTTCAAACCCACCAGCCACTCCTCAGAAAGAAAACTGGGCAATCTACTTCTGTAGAGATATCACCTCACAAACCATGAGTTAACCACCACCAGTTCAGCATAATCTAACAGAAAACATATGAGGGCACTTTTAAATACTTAGGACAGCATTTCCCAAACTACGCCTACCCTGTACTGCAGGAGGAGAGAATGAGGCTAATGCAGACAGAAAAGCAGAGCTACAAATGAGGAGAGTACCAAACACATCATTTGATTACATAGATTAGGTCTTGCCTGAGGCCAGCCCCAGTCCTTGGATTTTCTGTAGAGAATCCATACATTCCTTTTTCTTCTTTGCTTAAGCGATCTGGATTTCAGTTTCTGTAGTTTGAAACCGAGAGAACAATAATAGAGGGTTCTGGACCAGAACAGAACAAAACTTTATTTCTGCCTCTACAATGTTTACATAAGGAGCAGTGGTGGCACAATGGTTAAGCACTTGGCTGCTAACCAAAAGGTTGATGGTTCAAACCCATCCAGACAAAGATCTGGCAATCTGCTCCTGTAAAGATTTGTTGTTGTTGTTGTTGTTATGTGCCTAAAAAACCATATAGGGCCATTCTACTCTGCCACATGGGGTCACTATGAGACAAAATTGACTTAGGCGGCACCTAGAACAATGTTAGTATGTATATCAGAATCTCCTTGCTATCCCATTACAATAACCAACAAAGTAGCTGTGATTACCAGGTAAAGAAACAAGTTTGGGAAATAATATAAGCAAAATATCCTTGGAAATTCATAATACATATTACAAACATGAGTATTTCTCTAGTAAAAAAATTTTTTTAACTCAGTTGAACTCAGTTTTACAAATTATATTTGAGTATGGAATCTTTCTTTAGGAATATCTTTATTTTTTTATTTTTTGAACACTTTATTGTGGTTTGAGTGAAAGTCTACAGAGTAAATTAGTTTTCTATTCAATAATTCATAAACATTTTGTTTCACGACATTAGTTGCAATCCCTACAATGTAAACAGCACTTTTCTAAACAGCACTTTTCTCACTTCCTCCCTGAGTTCCCTGTTTCCATCTGTTCTTTCCTGGCCTTTCCTGCCTTCTGAGCTTTGTTTTGTGCTGTCTCCTTGGTCACCTATGGTTGATTTTTCTGAGGAGTATGTTCCTCACAGGTGTTAACTGTTCCCTTTATAGGCCTATTGTTTAGCTGAAAGGTGACGCCTTGGTGTGTATTCAGTTCTAGGTGTGAAGGATGTCTAACAGCCATAATCTTGGGAGTTCTTCTAGTCTTTTTCCAACTAGTAAGTCGGGTCTTTTCTTTATTAGTTTTGAATTTTGTTCTACCTTTTTTTTTTTTTTTTCCCACCCATTATAATTGGGACCTTCTATTGTGATCTGGACAGAGTGGTCAGTAGTGGTAGCCAGGAACCATTTAGTTTTTCTGGTCTCAGGGTAGTGAAGGCTGTGGTTCACATATCCATTAGTCCTTTGGACTAATTGTTTCCTAGAGTCTGATTTTCTTAGGACCTTAAGTCTTTTAAAGTTACTAATTGATAGAACAGTTTGGGGAATGCCACTTGAAAACATGATCATAATCAGTTAGATCCAGCATCTAAATAAAAATGTGAAACATGCATTCCGACCTACTTTCTAATATAATTACAATTTATATCCTAAATTATATTCCTCCAATATATCAGGAGAAGATCACAGAACTCAAATTTGAATATAAAGTTAGTTCATCTTCTAGACTGAAACTAACTTACCTGCATTGAAATAAGAATGAAATCAATTAGGCTCCCAATTCCACAAAAACCTACAGTGCAAAACTTTAACAAACCTACAAAAGAAGATAAAGTTATTTACAATTTGTAAGTCTTAGAAATAGTAACAAAAAACTATCAGCTTTTCAATAAACTATTATATCTACTACACAATTTTAATATAAATGATACAAAATTAATACTTCTAAAAATCAAATCTTCATCTAAAAATATGATAGACATTTAAAGAAACTCCTATATACAAACATCATAAACTAACTTCTTAATTCACTTAACAAATATTATGAAATGAAAGAAAAACTCAATGTAATCTTAAAAAATTTAAGAGAAAAGGCTTAAAGAAATAAATCTTTACATCTCAATACCACAGAGTTACACAGAATAATTTTAGCCTTCATATTCTTATTTATTTATTTAGACTTACTACACTAAGAATCCCGAATTTTAGCACACATTTACAGTAGAAAATTCAAAGAAAGATCATCAAGCCCACAGAAAATTAATCAGGAAAAAGCACTGATCTTGTAGTAAAACTGCAAACTCTTATTAGTAACACAATTATCTTGAATTTAGTCTATGCTTTTTTTTTCCCAAAGTATCTCATGATTTTTATGTCTTTAATCAGAATCAACAATTCTGTGCTGGGCGCTATTTACATCTCTGTCCTTGGTGCCAGCCCAGGAGCTAAGGTCAGTAACGGAGCACAGAATCCAGGATTTATACAAAGATATAACCCAAAAACAGAATGATGGAATTAGAATAGGCAGATTTGAGGGGAGGATGATGAATAATCTGTCTTCTATATTTAAACTTGAGATGCTTTCAAGAATCCTACTTGAGATAAAGAAATAGTAGGAAACAAGACTCTTTGTGAAAGGGTAGCTCTGAGTATCAACTGCAAATAGATGCCAGCTGAAATCACATGAGTAGATGAGATCATCTGCAAACAACTTGGAAATTTACACATAAGATTGAAATATGTAGGTATATAGATGATTTTTTTTTTTCTCTTCTTAGTATGAGACATAAGGCAGAATAATAAGTACTAGGACAGCATATTTTGGCAATATTTATCAAGATATAGATATGATATAAAGTTTTGCTTTTAGTTTTCTTCAAAATACTTATCTACCTCAGCTGAGCTGCTATTGAGCAGATTCTGACTCATGGTGATTCCATGTGTATCAAAGTAGAACTGTGCCCTGTAGAGTTTTCAATGGCTGGCCCTTTGGAAGTAGACTGCCAGGCCTTTCTTCCAAGGTTGAACTCGAACCTCCAACTTATGTGTTAGCAGCCAAGCAACTGTTTGGACTCCATTACCTACCTAACATTTTACATATGTTTATTATCTGTCTGATTGAAGTCCTGTGAAGGCAGAGACTTTTATTTGTTGTGCTTTCAATAAAAACTTAAGGAACTGATCAGTTAACTATTAAAAAAGAAAAACTTGCATGTTTAAACATTTCAGTAATTTACATCCTGTCTCACTCCAAACTTCTGATATCAACAATGTCAACAATGGTTTATCTATTTCTACCAATTTAAGGTAAAGGATGACTTTTCTGATGAAGTCACTGAAAATACTAACACTTGCTTTAGCTTTTTTAATATAAAAGTTAACATAAAATAGATGCTATTTTTGCTACTCCTACTTCAGTTCCTCTAATAATTGAGAAATTTAGTATAAATTCCAATTCCTCAATATATCATCATCTAACCTAGCCTCATCTCTTGATACTTCTTTTTCCCCATATTATGGGTGAACTACCTGAAGTTCTCTTCCAACAGGCTCTCCATCTTCTATCTCCTTTACCTCTCCGTACTTACACTACACTATTCTCTGCCTTAACTCCTCCTCTACTCTCTATTCTTTCCTATCATCTAGTTAACTCTCCTATCATCTAGTTTATCATCTTTTAAAACTTAGCTGAGATGTTTCCACCTCTGGAAATTTTTCCCTAATACCCCCAAAATGAATTCATTGCATTCCTAGTGCTGGGGAAGCATCCTGCCATTAATCCTTAGAATAGCACATATCCCACTGTATGATAAGTTACATATATATTTGTCTGTCTTCTCCCATCCTTCTGTAAGCAACCTAAAGTCAGGGATTGTCCTTCTCATGGCTAGTATATCTCATATACAATAGGCACTCAATTTGACTACTGAAAAGAAAAATTACATTAATAGGAAATTTTCTTATTTTGAAACAAACAAGATCAACTTAAATAACACAAAGTAGCACATATTCTATACAGCTTTTATTCAAATCAACACCAACCACTACTCTTGTGGGTTTTATTGTTTTGAATATTAATACCAGTTTTTTAAAAGATAGGGATTTGTGAATGCCCAAAAGTAGAGTAATTTTTATTTATTTTTTTTTAATAAAAAGGTAATAGGTCTCTTTGTACAGATGCCATTTATTAACTTCTTATTGTGGAAAGAATATCAGTTATAGATTTTCTAAAAAAAAATAAAAGTTCTGAAAAATAATGTTACTAATCAAGAAAAATTCATTTTTATTCTGAATCATTATTATAGATACATTCTTTCAAAATAATGATATTGCCAGAAGACATGAATATACACATCACCAAAGAAGAAATTCAGGCACCCAACACACCAGTGAAGAAATGTTCACGATCGTTAGACATTAAAGAGATGAAAATCAAAACAAAAATGAGATACCATCTTGACCTACCACTAGAAGCAAAGTTCAACAAGACAGAAAATAAGAAATGCTGGCGAGGATTTGGAGAGATTGGGACTCTCATATACTGCTGGTGGGACTGTGCCAAAGAGCCAGGGAGGCACCATCCTCTGACCTCCTCTAACCCCACAAGAGGAAGACAGAATCACCATCAGTAGCCCAAGGCCTATTCCTGTGAGGCCAGACATGCTGCCTCCCTCCAGCCCTTTCACCAACCATTCCTCCCGCAGTATCCATCACCTCTCTGTTGAGTTCGATAATTCACTGCAGTGGCCACACAGAACTCACAGATGATGGGGTTTATTAGGGAAACACCAGACTAAAATTCAAGTTCAGAAATGTACTCAGTCTCTTGCAGCCAGCCATCTCACTCAGCAGCTGGCAATCTCAGTAGCACATTGCTCCCTCAGTAGTGTGTGTCTCTCTCTCTTAACAGTGTGTATCTCTCGTATCTCTCTCTCAGCAGTATGGCTCTCTTGTCTCTCAAGAGCGTGTTTCTCTCAGCAGCACATCTTTCTCAGCCAGCAGTCAGAGAGATTCCTTCTGCCTGTAGGAGGACTCCTTTTGAGCCTGGCAGGGTAGTCAAACTAACCAATCCTAACATCAGAATTCTATACACCGAATGGCTGCTCCCAAAAGAAATACCCCAGGTAGATAAGTTTAACAAGCAGGAGCTACTCATTTGCTCATAGCAAATTCCACAATGGAGTTTACAAAGACTTGTGGCTAGAAAAGCCACACTATATAATTTACTACACAACAGACTGTAAAAGGATACAACCACTATGGAAAATAGTATGGTGACTCCCTACAAAGTTGGAATTAGAAATACCATTTGATCCAGCAATCCCATCACTAGGTATATATCCTAAAGAAGTGAGAGCCAGGACAAAAACAGATATATGCACACCCTTATTCATAACAGCACTATTTACAATAGCAAAAAGATGGAAACAACCTAGGTGCCCATCAACAGAAGAATGGATAACCAAACTATGGTACATACACACAATGGAATACTGTGCAACCCTGAAGAATAATGTAGAATCTGCAAAACATTGCATATCATGGGTGAACTTGGAGGACATTATGCTGAGTGAAATAAGTCAATCACAGAAGGACAAATATTGTTTTAGCTCATTATTTTAAAAAGTCAAGGAAAGGTTGATACATGGAAGGAAATTTTGTTGGTTACCAGGGGTCGGAGGGGAGAGGAGGGAACACTACTAGATAGGTAGAGACAAGGATTGATTTCGGTGAAGGGGAAGGCAATGTACTAAATGTGAGTGATCAACATGGTGGGACTGGGAAGAGGAAGACATAGATAGGTTTATGGGAGGTACAGACAACAAAGATGAACCCTTTTATATATATAGCACTGTGTTGTCAGTGATGGCAAACACTGATCTGCGGGTGGATAGATGGGTGGACAGGCTGAAGGATTAGGTATGTCTATGCAGGGGGCAGTGTGCCCATGACCACGTACAGGATTGGCAGACAGTGTTTCTACAAGTCTATTTGTATGTTCTGTAAGAATTTCCAGGTATATAGTAAAGCTGACAAGGGACAAGGTTGTAGTCACTTCTTGGCCACAGCCAGCTACCCGGAGGAAGCAAGTAGTTGGACCTGTGGGCTTGGGACCTTGGTTGCAGAGGATATCAAGCTCAATTGGCATAACATACTACACAAAAACATTGTTCCAAATCCTACTTTGCCAAGTAGCAACTGGGATCTTAAAAGCTTGCAAGCAGCCATCTAGATGCAATGATGGGTCTTTCCTCATCCAGAGCAGAGAAGAATGAAGAAAACCAAAGACACATGGAAACAATTAGTCCAAGGGACTGGCACATCATGCTATCTTCAGCCTATATGACTATGAGACCAGAAGAACTACATGGTGCCTGGCTATCACTGACAACCACTTGGAGGGGGATCTATGTAGGAGATCCTGTACAGAGTGGGAGAACAATATGGAACAAAACCCAAAATCATAAGGAAAAAAAAAAAAGAATGAAATGGACCAGGTTTGCTGTTCTGATAGAGCCTGGTGGAACCCCTGAGACTATGGCCCCTAGATGCCCTTCAGGTCTGGAATTGAACCCACTCCTGTGGTTTCCAGACAAACAAAAGATAGGCATATAACCTGAGCATTTACATTAGGTAGATGTACTTCTTGGAGAGATTAATCATGAGAGAATAGAAGAGACAGCTTGTAGAGCAGGAGTGCATGGGAAGAAGAACACAGGGAAGAAGAGATGGCTATGGGGAAGAAGTGGGAGGAGAGCTGTTACATTGTGAGAGACTGAAATAAATGTCATGGGACAAAGTGTATGTGAACTGCGGAATGGAAGATGAATTTGCTCGGTAAACTTTCACCCAAATCACAATAAAATAAACTTTACATTTTAAAAATACAGATTAATAGGATTTATATAGATATAAAATAAAAAAACAGATTAATTTATGCTATCTCTTACTTCTTTACAGGTTGTATCTTTCAAACACTTTTCTCTCTGCATAATTACTTTAAAGAATGAGGAGGAGTTAATATTGAGATTGCTGTTTGCCAAACCACAACTGTTTTACAACCTTTTGGTAACTGCTGCTATTCTTATTGTGTTTCCATCTCTAAAAGAGAGCTTTTAAATCTCAGAAAATTTTCAGTTGCAAATCCCTATATTGTCTTATATAATATGTAGATTAATATACCAGTTCAAACTGGTATCTTCAAACTTAAAAGGACTAATATAACCAAACAATTTTAAGATTTGGGCTTAAAAACACACAACACTTTGTTATTCTCATAACAACAACAAAAGAATTTACATTTAAAAATGAATACCACTAGGAAAGAGAGTATCTTTCCTGTTAACTGCCTCCAACGAGCTATTATCTTTGAGAATCCATAATCTTTTAATGCTACAGATGGGCAAACAAATTATGCTAGTTACTGCATTATATATATACACACACACACACACACACACACATATACATATATAGAGATGTTAACACAGAGTTAAAATACAAAAACAGAATATTATTAGAATAAGACTTTATAGTAAGAAAGGCTTCCAGCTAGAGCAAGTACTAGTATACTGAGGAATAAATCAATTGAAGGAAATAAAGATATACAGATATACACTAGTTGTAGTAATAAGCTAAAAATGAATTTCAAATATCTATGAAGAAAATTTTTCTATAAGTGAGTTTTACCAAATTTTATTCAACCTCATACTCCTTACCCCACTTTCTCTTGTTTAATCCCACCATAAAACTGATATAATGAAGTATTATTACACTCAACACTAAATTCCTAAACATAATAAGTTGCACACCTGCATGATTTACATTATTTATTCTGTTCTTATAAAATTCCAATGACTAGAAATAGTATTAAGAAATACATAAAAAAGCTGTATGTAAATAGTACCATTGCTTTTCATACACAAGAGAAATTTTAAAAGAGCATAAAATCAAAAAAATCAAACTATCTGCCATCGAGTCGATTCTGACTCATAGTGACCCCTACCGGGTTTCCGAGGCTGTAAATCTTTACAGAAGTAGATCACCCTGTCTTCCTTCCACGGAGCAGCTGGTGGTTTTGAACTGCTGACCTTCTGGTTAGCAGCCAAAAGCCATATCCACTATGCCACCAGAGCTCCTTAAGAGTATAAGAAAAATGGAATTTCTGTAACTACTTTAAACATATTATCCAGTTCAGACTTTTTTTAATGACAGTAATCATTTTAATTGGAAATATCAAAATTCCTTAGCCTTGGCTGCTTAGTAAAATTTAAAAATGAAATTAAAAACACTTTTTGAATTTTAATTAACAGTGTAATCTTTACATATTAGATTAATTTAGCTAAAAGCAGTTTGAATGCAAGTAAAGTACGGATAAAATATATATATATATATATTTTTTTTTTGAATGCTTAGAAAGATAATTAGAGATTTTTCAACTAAAGTTAACAAATTTAACATGTCCCCTTAGCTCCTATCACTTCCAGATCCACTAAAATATAGCAAAGGGATTTTTTAAAAGTCACTAACTCAACAGAATAAACAGAATGAAATATAAGACAATATGAACAAAAATTTGGAAGCTGTAAAACAGATGGATGATAGGTGACAGAGTTAACAACTGTGAGAAAATTGAATCTTAAACTAGCAGCCAAAATACTTGTTGAATTAATGAACACTCCAAGACTGTTGTAAGAATAAATTATGTCACTTAAAGTTTTCTTTTGTAACTTACACTGAAGCATAAAGTCAAATATTAAAAATCAAATCTGCAAATTTGTGGAACCTCAGTCTCAAACTTAAAGATTTTCACTGACTTACGCTCATAATATATATCCATCCATCGATCCATCCATCGATCCAACCATCCCTCCATTCATCTACCATCCGAAAAGGGGTTCAGAACTCTGTATTTTCTGTGTAACTTTTCTGTATACCTAAAGTTGCTCTAAAACAAAGTGTATTAAAAAAAATGCATGAGACTAAATGATTTTCATTTTGGCAGCTCAGAGGCCTTCTGAACATACTATGTATGGGTTTAGCTATGTTATGTAAAGGTGTGGTTGTTATAATGAGTGGCATGAAAGTGTAATTATGCTATCATTCAGGCCAGGACTACTTTATCAACTTCCTTTCAGCTTACTCTGCCACCAGCTTTTCTCCATTCTAAGTCATTTTCCACAATTCCTCAATATAATCTTCTTGAAATATAAATCTGTCCATGACACTCCTCTGCTTAAAAACTCTTGTGTAGAAGGTTACACCCAAATTCCATAGGAAGGCACTCAAAAGTCTTTCACATTTTAACCACAGCCTACCCATACAGACAGCTGCATCTCCTAATATTGTCGTTCCTACAAAAAACAAACAAACAAAACTGCTGCCACTGATTTGATTCCAACTCATGGTGACCCCATGTGTTACAGAGAACTGACCCAAAGAGTCTTCTTGGGTGTTCACAGCAGCAGATCACCAGACCTTTCTTCCACAGCATTGCTGAGTGGGTTTGATCAGCCAACCTTTAGGTTAGTGGTTAAGCACAAACCATTTGTGCCACCTAGGAGCTTTGTAATTTCTATACCACAGTCTAAATTATCCACTATTCTCTCAAAACACACACATTCTCATTCTTCGTATTCCCATACTTTTGTACATGCTGTTCCCTATAACAATCTCTTCATCCTTCAAAATCTAGCTCAAATGTCATCTCCTCTGAGAAGTACTTCCTCACACCTCCAGACAGATTGAATCAGTCCCTTTTCTGTTCTCATATCATTTTTTTATGGTTGCTATAGTACTATATCAAAAAGTAGCCTAGAAACATATTTACTTCATATTTATTTTCCTCTTAGCCAATGTGCACAGTGATCTTCATCATCGTTTACACATTAGTCATTAATAAGTAATTTTTTTTGTTTTTAATTTACTTAATTAGCATGTAGTAAACATTGAATAAATGTTTGTTGATTGAATAAATTAGTATATATGACATTAAAACACTGAGTTTCAGCTAAGGCTGTCAGAAGCACACCTCCTACCAACCTCATGTGAAGATTTCTTTTTGATTCCTAGAGGGTAGCAATATGGAAGGAATAAGGTTAGCTATCCCTTAGCTAGGAAGTAGAGGACCCATAAACTTTAAATTGCTCAGTGAGGACTAATACAGAGGCAAGGTACTATAGTAAATAAAGTATGATCTCTGGAGCCAGAAAATGTGGGTTCAAATTCAGGTCACTAGCTGAATGTCCTTAGTTAAATCTCTTAATCTCGTGACAATTTCCCTGTCCATAAAATAAGGATAATAACAAATATGTCACAGAATAAAGCAAAGCCTCTAGGGTCAGTAAATCCCTTAACCTCTTTGGTGACAATTTCCCTACCTGTTAAAGAAGATAAAACTGGTAGAATTCTAAGGTTTAAATCAGACTAGGCATGTGAAAGTACTGTTTAAACAAAAGCTATAGCTAAATATAAGTACTTTTTATAATCACTAGTAACTGTGGAAAACATAAAGATTACAGCTAGGAAGAAGGTATGGGGGAGTGATGCTAAGGTGATAAAAGGTAGGCTCCCATATAAGCTCATGCTGGTAGCCGTAGTTCCCATCCCAGCTTGTCCTGAAAGTAGTCATTTCTGTTTGCAAAGTTATAAAGATAGAGGTAGAAAAAGCATTAATTTTGGAGCAGCAGGTAAGGGTATACATTTATTCATAAAACATTTACTGAAGGCCCACTGTGTGCCCAGCACTAGTAGTGACAGCTCAAATCTGCCTTCTTAAGTAAATGCCTCCCCTACATGGAGTGTGTTTTCACAAAAGTAAAATCCAGGAAAGGAAAGTCAGTATTTCTTACCAAATGAATTGTAAAGCGTGCTAGCTCTGTACTTACAGAAGAATGCAGCCATTCAACTTCAATTACACAGAACTTCTAAATGTTAATAATATGCAGCAACTTAATCTATAAAGATATGTACATTTAACTAGAATACACATTTCACAAGGATTTTCTTTTAGCAAAAAATACTCACCCAAGGCTGGGTATCCAAGGTAAAATCGATCTGCTCCCAACCATCCAAGAAAAAGAGACAGAGCAACTGCTACTTTGTATGAATAGCCATTTCTGCACAAAATTAAAACCTGAATGTCAAAGTCATTTAATACCAAAATGTGGATATTTCAGAAAATAAATTTTTTAATTATTATTTATTTGTTCATTTATTCATTTTTCATTCAGTCAATTAATGTTTTCTGGATGCCTATTATGTGCCAGGTACTATTCTAGGCTCTACTAATCAACAAAAGAGACAAAGATCCCTGCCCTGTGGAGCTTATAATCTACTACACATGGCAAGCAATAAACATACTACAAAAGTCAATCATATCCTATCTTAGAAACTTATATGCTATGGAAAAAAAGAAAAAGTGGAGCAGAGAGTATAAGAGATCCACAGTGTCAGGAGAAGAGACAAGGGACAGGTTGTACTTTTAAATGGGTGGTAAGGGTAGGCCTCATTGAGATGAGTTAGCCATGCCTAGCCACTGATGGTAAGTGTCCTAATCAAAAGAAAGACCTGGTGTAAAAGCAGCACAACTGGCCTATCTGAGGACTGTTCAGGAGGCCAGTATAATAGGAAAAGGGAAGAATATGAGAAGATGAGATTAGAGAGGTAAGGTAGAGAGAGAAGGTCAGATTACATAAAGAGAAGGTCAGAAATGTGAAGCTATTCCATTTTAAGCAGAGGTATAATGTGATCTGATTTCAATTTTAAAAGACTCACTCTAACTCTTATGCTGAAAACAGACCAAAAAAACAAAACAAAGCAAAGCAAAATCTCATTGCCATTAAGACTAATAGCAATTATTCTGACTAATAGCAACCCCATCTGGGTTTCTGAGGTGATAAATCTTTATGGAAGCAAATTGCCCCATTTTCCTTCCATGTAGCAGCTGGTAGGTTTGAACTATCAACCTTCTGGTTAGCAGTCAAATGCCTTAGACACTGTGCCACCAGAGCTCCTTGAAAATAAACTATACAGTATTTGTCAGCTATTGTGCTGTGTAACAAAACACACCAAAACTTAGTGGCTTGGAACAGTAAGCATTTATCCTCACACTTGTGGATTACAGAATAGGCTGGATTTGGTCTGCAGTTTAACGCTCTCCCAACTGAGCTATTTTGGCCAGGTAGAATACACTGGATTTGGCTGAGCAATTCTGCTTCAGGTTAACGTTTGGCTGAGCTTGGATGTAGGCTGTTTAAGTCAGCTTCACTTAAGTGTTTATAGGGTACAAGTTGAAGAAGCAGCAGCTTAGAGTATAAGTTGTTTTCAAGTCATATTACCAAAGTACAAGATGAAAGCTAAACAAAGTCCACAAATACATTTAAGCCTTTGCTTGTTGCTTATGTCACACCTGCTAATATTACACAGACCAAATCAAGTCACATGATCAACTCCAAAATCAATGGAGTGGGGAGGCAGACATTGTCCAGTAGGTACAGGGTAGGAGGGATAAATATCTGTCAAACAAATTCAAACTACTACAGGGGACAAGAGAATTTGGGTACTATTATAATAACGCAGGTGAGAAACAGCAGTGGTTTGGTCTAGAGTGATAGCAAAAGAAGTAATGAGAAGTGATCAGATTCTGGATATACTCTAAGACACAGCCAAACTCAATTTCCTGATGCATTAGACATAGGGTATGGAAAAAAAGGAGTAAGAATAACTCTAAACTCTTTAACTGAAGCAATTAGTAGGATGAAGCTGGCATTGCCCAAAGGAAGGGAAGGCTGAGGGTAGTTTAGATCTTGAAAGGAAGATTAGGATTTTAGTTTTGGACCTGTTAAGTTTGAGATGCCTATTAGACATCTATATGGAGTTGTTGAAAAGACACATTTACAAGTTTGGAGTTAGGAAGAGAGCCCTGGGCTAGGGATACAAATTAGGGAGTTAAAAGCATAGTGATAGTATATAAAGCCATGAGATTGCCATGTGAGACTATATAGAAAAAAAGAAGTGATGTAACCACTGAACTCTGAGGTGTTCCAATAGTAAGAAATCAGGGAGAAGGAAGAAACCAGAAAGAAGACTGAGAAAAAGCTAATGGTGGGGAAGAAGTAAAATTAGAAGAGTGTGGGATCCTGGAAAACAAGTGAAGACAGTGAATTAAGGAAGGCAGAATGACCAATTATGCCAGAAGTGGTTGATGGATAATGGCTGAGAATTTACCACTAAGTTTAAACAAAAGGACATTAGGGTTTATCTCCATAAGAGCAATTCTGGTGATGTGGTAAGGACAAAAAATCAAACAGAGTGGGCTTAAGAAATCATGAGAGGAAATGAATTGAAGAAAAGAAGTATTAGACAACTCTTTCAACAAGGAGTTCTGCTGCAAAGAGGAGTAAAGACATAGAGAGAGGTAGCCAGAGTCATCATCCTAAAGTCAGTCCTGATCATGTTAGTGCCTGCTTACAATCCTTTTATAGTTTTGCATTAGGGTCTCTGGGGTAGTTTGAGGGAAGTAGTAAATGGCCTAGAGATAAGAAAGAGCTTGGAACATGCAAGAAATGAGTAATAAATTGTACTGGAGAGGTAAAAAAAAGCCAGAGATCCAGTCGATGCATCTAATATTATAAGGATGTCAGAATTTATGCAGAGTGATGGCCCCATCTACCTTAGAGTGGGGCACCAGGCTGGAAAGTAAAGAAATTACTTAGAAAGGTTATAGAAACTTGGGCTGTAATCTAATGGACAGCAGCAGTGGGAGTGAGAAGTAAGCAAAACTGGAAATAAAAAAGCAAAATCAACCAGAATAAATGTGAGGAATGAAAGACATTGAGAAATTTCTGACTTACGAAACTGGGTGGAAACATGGATGAACCTTGAAAACACTGTGCTGAATGAAGTAAGTCCATCACAAAAGGACAAATATTGTATGATCTTATATATTTAGAATAAGCAAATGCATAGAGACCAAAGTTTACTAGTGGTTACCAACAGCAGGAGGATGGAGAAATAGAGGAGGGCATTGTTTAGGAAGCACTGAGTTTCTTTTACAGTGATGGAAAATTTGGCAAGGAATATTGGTGATGGTGTTGGACAACATCATTAATGTAATTGGTGTCACTGAATTGTACACATTAAAAATATTAAATGTTATACATATTTTCACAAAAATAAAAAAATACCAGTTACTAAAAGAAAAGAGAGAACAATCTGCAAGAACAATTTTAGATTCAATTTTGGACCTTAAAATATATAAAGACTGTGTTGTTGTTATGTGCTGTTGAGTCAGACCCGACTTATAGCAACCCCTCCTTGGGTTCCCGAGGCGGTATCACTGCGGAAGTAGATTGCCCAACCTTCCTTCCGAGGAGTGGCTGGTGGGTTTGAACCACCAGCCTTCTGGTTACCAGTC